TAGATTTAATATTATTAATAAGCTTTTTAATTTATTTTATAAAATATAATGTATCAGAAGTAATGATACAGCCTATATTTTATTATGAAACACCTCCTGATGAGAGATAAAATCAAAATTGAGGTTTAATTGCATGGTACCTAGATTTAATGAATCCTGCACAGGATTTTTTGAAAAACCATGATTTGCCCATCTCTAATTAGAAATGACAACTTTTAAGAGCTTAATATAAATTAAAAATAGTAAAAGACTCACAGTGCAATTTTTTGGTGCTATCCATTTTGCACCTTTCTTTTGTATGTTTTTCGTGAACTCAGGTTCCCAATCGCAGCGTTTCCTAAAATTCTTCTACTTCATAATCAGTAAATTATGAGTTGTTTGTATTGGATTTCAAGGTAAAAAAGATAATTTTGAGTGCTATCTTTATTCAATAGATAAATGATGAGAAATATATAAGAGTTTATAATCTGAATACAACTTTAGTCAGTAGTGTATTTTTGTGTTAGGTTAATCAATATCAACCAATCAGAAAACATTGACATGCCTTATTTGAAAAATCGAGAATACATATAATATAAATATACTTGTATAAACAATGTACAACATAAACATTGTAAAATATAAAAAACACAGAGCATGAACACAATTCACATTTAATTGTTTTTATTTTTTTTCATTTTTGATACATATGTTTATTTTGAATTGCTATGTACATATCTGTTTTATAGAAATTTTTATATATAAAAGCATGAAAAATTCTCTGCTGAACATCATAATCTGAAAATACTTTTATAATAAAAAGAATATATTAAATATATTATATATAACTTTTTTTTAATAATTAATTTTGCAACCAAAAAAATTTAAACACTTTTACTCTGACAAAAATCCAAAGAAAACTTGAAAAAAAACTTGAAAATTTAAAAATATTTTATTAACAGATAAGTATATTTATAATATAATTTAAAAGTTATAAAATTTTAATATATAAAAATTATCACTTAAACCGTTTCTCCTGCAAATTTGCTTTCAAATTTTTGAATTTTGATTTGTAATTCATGTAGTGCATGTAACACAAAAAATTTAAGGTTTTACCAATTTAATCTGGAAAATCCTAATTTTGACTTATTTAGAATTATTTATTTATTTTTTAGTTTATGTAATGCATTGTTCTTTTTTTTTGGCAATTGTTCAATCATCTTCTATTAGGTTTTGTCAATCACAATCATTGTAATTTATTTATTTATTTTTTTTTATTTACTTACTTTTTTTTTCATATACCACTTTAATACTATTTTCAGACATGAAGAATACAATATGGATAACAATGCTGAAGATAATGATTCCTATATTTTTGAGCTCATACGAAATATTGAGAATGAAATTGAAAGTAAAGTTAGAGATATTACTGATGATAAAAGTGATAAAGTTGAAGATGAATTTGTCGATAAAACTGAAGAAGAAACTGCTGATGAGTTTGAAAAAGAAACTATGAACATAAAAAACAAAAAAAAATTAATAAAATTAATAAACTTAGTCAAACAAAAAAAAAAAGTATCTTTAATTAGTTTACCATCACCACCATCATTACAAAAATTTCAGCATACTAAACCATATCATATTTCTCAAGTAAAAGTAACTGACAAATTACCTATTGGCAAAGTTACTCTATATTCAATTTTTCATCTATTCTTTTCTAATTTACAATTAAATTTTATTATTAAAAATACAAATTATTATGCAATAGCAAAATCGGCTGGTAACGGACATGAATGGCATTCTTTAACAATTGAAGAATTGTTAATATGATTTGCCCTAATAATTTATATGGGTGTTTTTAAGTTACCTAGTAGGGAAGATTACTGGAAAACAGATTGGAAATATCCACAACATAAAATTACAAAATATATGACTTTAGTTCGATTTGAATAAGTTATGTTTATTATTTTTTTTTTGAATTTATTTTTTAGTTTATTGATTTTTTTTAAAAAAATAAAAGATAAAGTGATATCTACATATCGCGAAAATTGAACCAAAATTGTCAGAATTACCATGATATTCAAAAATTGAACTCTTGGTAACACATATTCAAAAAGTTTCTAAATTGATATACTTACTAAAATTGCAAGTTTCTATCGACGAAATAGTCATTAGATTTAAAGGAAGAAGCAGCCATACAGTGCGAATTAAAAATAAATCCACACCTGAAGGATACAAAATTCTTTCTTTATATGATTCAGGATATACTTATTGTTTTGTTTTTACTTCTCATATTGAATCAATTGAAACTAACTCTAAAATTATTCCAATTCCAAATATTAACAAAATTGGTTGGCAGGTTTATCATTTGGTATCTCAACTTCCAAAAAACAAAGCATTTGACATTTACATGAATAATTTTTTTACTAGTATTAACTTATTTAGTCATATATGAAAAATTGGGTATGGTGGTTGTGAAACAGTAAGAACTAATACTTCAAAATTTCCTACTTGTTTAAAAATAAAAAATCACAAAAATTCAAATGGGATATTCTTTCTAAAGCAGTTGTGGATGACATTTTAGATGTGTTTTGATGGATAATGGTCTCGTGACCATGTTAATGACTATACATGAAATTTTAGATGAGGAATTTCGAATAGAACATAAAAGGAGAAGGCCACGAACAACTAGTACAAATGCAGTAAAAGTTCGTAATGTGTTTTGTAATGCAAGTAAAAAAGTTCTTCTCATATCTGCTGTAATAGATGATTACAACTATAATATGAGTGGTGTTGATATAGCTAAACAATTAAGAGGTTATTATGACACACAAGTTCCTGTACATCGTATTTGGATGCCATTATTTTTTTGGCTCCTAGATATCAACATTGTTAATACTTTCTTAATTTCAAAAAATCTTAATTTGATAATGATGCACAAAGATTTTAGAATAAATTTGGCATAAAATTTGGTGAAAGAATCACTTCAAATGAGTCAAATTAACCAACAATTAAATACACAGACAAAAAAAGTAACATTTCAGTTAGAATTACAAAATAATCAACAAAGACTATTTTATGTTACAAAAAAATTTGAGGTACCTATTTAACAATTATTCCTACAAAGCTACTACCTAGTATATTATGAGCAAAGAGGTTCCTGTATTTGGTGCAGATTTAAAAATATGGCTAAGCAAGAGAAATGTAATAAAAATTTACCACAAAACCAGATGTGGTGCACAACATGTAATGTGCCATTATGTCTCAATAAGCAGCATCCAGATTGTTTTATTGAGTATTATGAATGTAAATAACAAAATAAATACTATTTTTATATTGTGATATACAGTTTGGTGTCATGTTTACTATTATTTTGTCATAGTTGTAATATAAATGAGCATCGAAAAATTTTAGGGCAAATTTGCCCCCAATTGACAAACAGTTTAAGGGATAAAATACTTATATTTATTTATTTTTTTTATTTTTAATATAATAGTAAATTTCAGATTCAAAGTGTTTAAATTCTCTGGTTGCAAAATTATTTTTTTTTTATTTAAAGTTATATTAAATATTTAAAGTTCTTTTTATAATATAAATTTATATTTGAATTGTCAATTTGGCATGTCAATTAATAGAAAACAGTCAAAGTTGCTTTTTATAATAAATATATATTAGACAAAAAGTTTTTTTTACTATATAAAAAAATTATTCTTATTATAGTGAACCTTGTTTTATAGTGAATTTACAAAAAAAAATTTAATATGTAGTGAAAAAATCTTAAAGCCTAATAATTTTATTATAATTAAAGTAACATATTAGTAAATTCACTATTAATTACGTAAAAGGTTCACTATAACAAGAAAATTATTATAACAAGGTTCACTATAACAAGTAATATATTTTTTTAGACTGTTTTCTATTAATAATTACAAAGACTGTTTTCTATTAATAATAATTATAAAGACTGTTTTTTATCAATTTGCAATTATGCATATTTTCTTTGCGCATGTGCATAAACGTGCGTGATTACATTGAATTCCTGCTACGTTGTTTTTTGTTTGCATCGAATTCTGTCATAGAATTCTGTTATAGAATTCTGTGCAGAATTACACTGGTACGTACAATTTTTTTAGAATATTGTACAACCACACTAAAAATAAAAAATTGTTGTATGTTAGTTGCATTACCGTTTTTTTTCAACGTATTTTTTTTGCAATTACAAATGGCACAAAAAATTAACGACGCTTTTAATCAACTAAATTTTGATGAGTATAAAAATTTTGCAGATACAAACGAAGCAAACGGAAATTATTTGCTTGGTTACTGTTACGAGTTTGGAAT